CATGTCTGAAACAAACGGACTCTGCTATGAATAGACAGTCTTTGTGCCATGAAATAACTCATGTCATACCTATATACTGACTTTTGCCTATTGGGAAAGGAAATGTAGGCTTATTTTTGGCACCCGCTACACTGTATATACATAAGGCAAAGTTGAAGTTAGAAAAGGAAGAGAAGCCTCCTGTCAATCTGTACAAACAGCCAGAAGGAATCATGCGGGAGTTGGACTGGCCCACCAATAACGCCTAGATGTGATGCAAGGTTGACTAACAAGGCTGAATTTAAAATTTCTGGTACCTGTTTGGCATCCAGCATTCCCTGTGGTTCAAGTTGGTACTCACAGTTGCCTTCTGGGTAAATCACGGCTTTTAAAGTTTGCTTTTGCAGCTTTTGTTTGGTTGAAGGAAATACTGGTGGGGCAGCACGTGTGGTTCTGTCCCAGGCGTAAGGAATCTTTGATGGCTGCCAGGAGCAGCACGTGAGACTGACGACCAAGGTGCTCAGCTTATCTTTGTCAGGAACAAAACAGAAAACAGGTAACTAAAAGCTGTGTAGAAAAAAGTGCTTGTACCCAAAAGGAGAACAAGCTGTTTGGCATCCCAAAGGTGTTTGATACCTTCTCAGAGACTGAGAAGCAGCCAAATGAAATAACCACCAGAATAGGCTTTGTAAGGACGTCTTCAAGGATGGCTGTCTTCAGGGTCAGGCTGGATGAGGCTTTGAGCAACCTGGTCTAGTGGAAGGTGTCCCTGCCCATGGCAGGGGGGTTGGAACTAGATGGTCTGTAAGGGCCCTTCCAACCCAAACCATTCTGTGGTTCTGTGACTACTGATGTGAATTTGTCTGTATGGGAACCCTTCGTATTGCCACTTCTTGTTCAGGTATTACATTGCAGTCAAGGCTGTAGTTTTGTTGATCCCGCTTATCAGCAACAACTAAAAAATCTTGCAGGAATGAAAGGCAAGAGGATATGTGTGGTGTGAGATGACTGCCCAGAGCTGGCTGGGAAGCTAGAAAGGCCAGCCTGTCTTTTATTCACCATCCTCCTAAAGCTGTTCCTTATTCAAGGCCTGACTAATTTAGGTTACTTCTCAGTTAAGCAGAAGTCCTGAAATACTTGGATTATTTCTGAAAGCCTTGGATTTTGTATTCATGGGCTGCATGAATATCCCCCTTCTTATGATCACAGAGAAGGTGTAAGAATGTGGTCTTACAGGGTCAAATACCAGGCATTTTTAATTGTTTTCTAGTATTTTGGGTTTTTCACACCAGGCTTCTGATTTTGGAAGCCTTATTTTACAGAACTGCATGCTTGCTGTTGGCAGTACTGTACAGTGCAAAGAAACCTTGCGATTATTTGCTAGTGCTAGTCCTGTTTTAAGTTAAATCTGCTTACTCTACTAGGGCATGTTGTTTGGTCATGCTTGTAGAGTCAGACCCTAAGGATGTATCTCGTTCCTTCTCTGGCTCTCCTTGCTTCAAGTTTCCACTTCCCATGGAACCCAAGTCCCCTTTGAAAGGCAAGATGCTTAGACCACCACATGTATCCCTCGCTGTCTCCTAGAGATTTGCATGTGCTGCTTCTGCTCCATTGGCAGGGTCTTCCCCACTCACTCCTGCCACTCAGTTGCGTATTGTGTGCTGTCTGTAAGTATTCTACCAGGTACAGGCCTTGCTCTGTGATTTAACTGGACTGCTGCTACTCACAGTTCCAGCACGAAGGGAACATGTTAAAGCCATTGTAAAATAATCGTCGCCGCCTGAAATTGAGAAGGTGGGATCCAATAATCTGAAACCCAGACGGTCTCTGGCAGTGAGAGGTAGGAGAGCTGTCATGCTGAAAAAGACCCAGAAGTCAGCAAATGAGCTAATGATGTGAGATGTGAAAATGAAAGGCAGTGATTCTGAACAACGTAGGTAGGAGCATCCAGCTCGGGAGACCTCTCTAGTCTCACCTCTGCTAGTGTTCCCCACACAGGCAGTACAGGGGCTGGGGCGGGGGCGATGATGGATGCTAAGCGTAAACTAGCAAGGTGATAGACCGATCAGTGTGCTGAACAGTCTCGCCGAGGAGGGATTAGCGACTGGGATCAGCAAATACAATTTGACAACGCTTTGCTGAGACCAGTATGTGTGTCAGATGGGAGGGGAGGAGAAGCCTGACTTCGCTGTATGTGAAATAATAATGATGTCAAATGGGAAATAATATGTGGGCATATAACTGTTGGCTTGTGTTACCATCCACAGGAATATGTTTGTCGAACCTGGGTTCTGGTCCCGAGCGCCTTGACTTGGAGTCACGCAATCTTTGGACTGGCTAGCGGTTGCTGTTGAACAACGCTGCCTGCTTGACCACTTAAATGTTTACAATATATGGCACGGTGGTGGGGGTAGGCTTTTGCTGTTCAGTATCTGAGCTGATACCATGTGGCACTGAGTCGCTGTCCTCTGAATAATCCCTGTGGTGCTACTGCACATGAATTCGCCACCTTCCGTCTTAATAGCTTGCTTGAGAGCCAGTGTCGCACTTCACGCCCTGCGCTGGACACCCTCCAACAAGTTAATGTCTTTCTCTGAGGAAGGTGAGTAAAACTGATGAGGGTATCCTTAACTAAAGCGCCATAAAATTCTAATAGAGTAGTAATGTTCCCAGCAAGCGTGAAGGAAACCTGATCAATAGTTATGAGGTTGAGGCTGAATTTATGGCCTTAATTCATCAAGAATAGACACTCTCCACTTTCGCACAGGATGCTTCCGTGGTTCCTAAAAAAAATGTCTGCACAAGCCCTTTCTCGACAATTCCCTTTGTCATTTAAGAAGAAGTGACTCTACGGAGGTGGCGATCAGGGCCCTGTCCTCTGTCCAAAGCCAGTTTTTCACCGTATGGGACGGGCTGTACCAGCTGCATTGGTTCCAAGAGTCTTGGGCTTGGGGTGCTTTCACAGTGAGTAAAAAAGTTATTCCGGATTGCTAAAATTTGATGGTGCCATTATTGATGTGCCTGCAAGCCACCCTGCAGTCAGGAATGGTTCACTAGCACGTCCTCCAAAAAACCTTTTTACTGCCTTTTGTAGACCCCTTCCAATAGGATTTGCCAGGGGCAGATGGGGACTGGGCTACTTCTGTGTTTCTGAGCTGCCTTTGTTGCAGGAAGAAGTTTTCCCAGCTGCTCCTGCCTCAGGTTTTCTCTCTTTAAAGTTTCCAAGCCGGTATATAAGCATGGAGGCAGACACTGAAATTTCTCCCCGAGGTTTTATTAAAACCTTTACGTAAAACAGTCAGACCTCTCCGAAGGCTGCAGTAAGGGTACGTTTTCTGCGTCCACCTCCCAGAAAGCGCCGTGGAAGCGTAGCAAACGCAGCGGAAAAGCCTTGGATGAAGCCATCCCGTAACCTCTGTCTGCCCTGCGCAGGGGAGCACGGGGAGGTGTTCAGTACCTGACGCGATAGGAGTGCCTTAGGAAGGGTGTAGCTGGCGCTGGCTCTCAGTTAACACCCGACCCAGAGTGGCGTGTGGCAGGCATTCACACGCCGTTTCTGAGGCGTGCTTCCATGATTCCCGTCTCTCAGGCCACGCGCGGCTCCATAGGCTAGCAGCCCAGCCCTGGACATGATCCCTGCCGTGGTGTCACTGGGTGTCACGTCAAACACCCCCTCCTGTGACCCCTGACTTCACGGGACGCCTGTCAAGGTTTGCCGCGGGGGAGAAGGGAGGCGTAAGGTTGGATGTTCTCAGGGGAACGTGAAGAACCGCAGGGAGCTGACGTGCAGATGGTGGCTTTTCTGACAGCCCAGGGGGGCTCTGGGGAGCTGGGGGGGCTGGTTCTCTCTCAGACCTCCCTCTGCAGCAGCGCTTTGGCGAGCGGCTGCAGCGCAGGGGACGGAGGCAGCAGGAGTTGGAAGCCCCAGCCGTTCCCCGAGCCAACAGCGACACCCAGGGCTTATCACCACAGGCAATCCCTTCATTCAGGTCCAGCCCTCTGCTGATCCTGAATGACTACACCGATGGAGAAGGAAGTGATACTTCACCGTGGTAAACAGAAATCCTCTGTGCTGGTGCACCGAGGGTAAATCAGGCCCCGGGCACGGCTGTGTTCACACAACCGCATCCACACCAGGCGGACTGTACCTTTTCATCTCTCTCAAAACAGCTAAGATGGCATTACTTATTCGCAGGAAAGATCAGGACAGGCAGCTTATAAAACCTCCCATTCCTGCCTCCCTGCTACAGCGAAAAACTCTGAAGGCATCCTGAAATCACTTTGGTAAGCCTTTGCTGAGGGAATGTATACACCGAGACGCGCAGGACGTTCGAGGAGTGTGTCACCGTGGCAATAACAGGTGCGGGGTCTGTAGCGGTGAACACCGAGTCAGACTTTTATTAAAATGACCCTGAACAACCCCTGAAGACACGTACCTGAGCAGACAGTGGTAAAACAATTAGAGAGACAAGAGAGTACCAGGCACTAATGGCTGTAGAAAAATACTTCAGCAGAAGCAGAAAACCACCTCAGAGCTGACCAGGACACGAGACGTACAGTGAATGACCCGAACTACACCCCAGCCACCTGCACCTTCCACTCCCAGAACGTGAAAGCTGCCTGGCGGTCACGGGGCCATCGGCCGTGTGGCCGGCGCGTGGCCTGCGCGGCTCCTGAGGCAGTGTCTTGTTGGCTTTTCAAGCCCAGTCTTGGCATCAGATCAGAAGGGGAAACCTGTTCCTCTCGGCAGGGCAGGAGGCAGCTCGACTGGAAGAGCAGCAAACGAAGGAGACCCATGGCCGTGGTTTTACCCCCAAGCAGAGAAGGGGGTAAAACCCCCTTCCCCCTGGGGAGGGAAGGGGATGAAGGAAGTTCAATTCAAGCTGTCTCCATGTTGACCTATCCTGAAATTGTTACCGTTCTACCTGCTTTTTCAAGGAAAGATGAAGCAAACCTCTGTTCATTTCTGCTGTGGCACAGCTGGAAAGGGGCTACTTAGAAAGCCAGCAACCCGTACGCCGTCAGTGCGTGAGTGTTGCCACAGTCTGCAGCTCCATGCCACTGGCTTTCCTTCGCACTTTCTTCTCCTTCCGAATCTGGCAAGAAAGGTTATTTAAAAACCAGTCTACATCTTGATAATCTTCAGGCCACCGCAAGTATCGACCCCTTTGTAAAAAGTTTCGAATTGGTTTGTGTTTCATCAGTTGGTACTGAGAAAGTGACCCCACCACTACCATAATGAGGACATCTTTCAGATCACAAAAGTACCTGCTCTGGGCAAAATTAAAGGCTTCCACACACCACCCATCTTTGAGAAACTGCCTGGTCACAATGCAAACTGTTTTCCTGCTGTTCCAAATGGCATCGCGAATATTGTTGATATGTTCTTCCCCTGGCAAGAAGTCTCTTTCCTCAAAGCACAAGGTAAACCTGTTTTTATCAAAATACTGTGAATCCAGGCGCTTTAGCAAAGAATTCTGGACCCATTCAAAGTCATTTTTGCTGTAGCAGAAATACGCGTCATATCTGTATTCGCTTTTATCTGCTCCTCGCGAACGGCTGTCTATCAGTTTTTTGGTGATGGTTTTATACCAGACAAAACACATCCCCCGACAGCGAGTAAAAACGACGACTGCCGTCAGAAACACGAGGAGAGCGATGGAGGTGAAGATGAATAATGAGAACCTGAGGGTCTGTTGGAGTTCGTCTTCACTGAAACAGTCGTATGTCACAGACGACAGCGGTGCCCCTGCAAGCGCAGGTGGGTACGCACAGTACCTGTCAGACGGCGAGCCAGCGAGGGTCACATTGGTTTCGTTTAGCCATGCTAGCAGGCTCTTTAAAGTACAATCACAGACATACTTATTATGCGTTATATCCAGAATACTCAAAGTCATAAAGACTTCAGGCTCGGGGGAAAAAAGCTGGTTTCCAGATAAGTTGAGGTTTGCGAGGCTTTGTGGAAAAAGCCCAGGAGAAAGGTGAGACAATAGGTTGGAAGCTAGGTTAAGTCTTTTTAGAGATGTGAGCCCCCGAAAAATCTCCTGTGGAAGAGCACTAAGGTAGTTGTTATTCAGGTGTAGAACCTGAAGCTTGGAGAGCGCCCTGAACACATCCAGACATAAACCTCTCTCCCATACAAGCTGTAACATATTTTCACCCAGATCTATGTAGATTAACTGATTGTTTTCTACAACATCATCGCTTTTCACACAGTAAGAGAAGCGATTCTGTTTTAAGAAGATATACTGCACATCTGGAACTTGGAAAAGAACATACAGGTCTCCCAGGTTGGCCAACCAGTTTCCTTCTAAATCAAGGTACGTTGCTACTATTGCTGTGCCGACTGCAGACATCAGCTTATTGTCACCTAAAAAGGCGAAGGTCAGCTGTGGAAAGGAAGGGATTTTTTTAATGGCGTTGTCTCGGAGGTCAATTATTTTCAGACTTAGTAAGTTACTGAATGATTTTCCACTGATTATCCCGATATGGTTTTGCTGTAAATCAATATACATTACGCTGTCTAGACCCTCAAAACTATAATCGTACAACTCGCCTAAAAGATTCCTTGAGAGATTAAGAGTTTTTAGGTTTCCCAACCCAAAAAAGGCTTGCCTTTGGATTTGATTTATCTTGTTTTTGAAAAGCAGTTCCAGTGAGGCTTTGAAAGATTAAAGAATTGAGAGAGAAAATGTAACCATCTGAAATATCAAGCCAGCGAAGGTCGCTTCTGGCCAGCCCTGCAAACGTATCTGTATCTGGATTCTTTAAGTTATTAAAGCCAAATGACGCACCCATTGTGTGAGACCTAAATGTTAAAGACCCGACCTGAGTCCCTTTGATGGCTGTGCAGAAATTGCGGACTTTCTCCGTGCTCCAGCCATTCTCACTGAGGTCTAGGGAGACGAACGTGATATTTCTGAAAGGGTTGGGGCACTGGGCCCAGGCCGTTTCATCTGTCTCGTACAAACGGTTGGAGCTGAGGCTAAAAAGTAAGAAGAGTTTTCCTCGGAAGCTGGTAAGATTGCTTTCGCACAGGTTGGGTATCTTGTTGAATTTCAGGTTCACCGTTTTCAGGGCTGTGAGATTATAAAATAAGGGGTGAGGCTGCAGCTTTGTGATTTCATTCCCTGAAAGATCCAATTCTTCTAATGAGCTCAGATCTTGAAAGTAACGTTCCTCCAGGATGGAATTTCCAAGGTAGTTCTGAAACAGACGGAGTACAGTCAGACTTGACAAGCCCACAAACGCATCGAGATCCAGTTGAAGAATGTTATTGAATCCCAAGTCCAAGACACGAAGGTTTGGCAGGTTCCTGAAAGCTCCTTTTCCTATGGTAACAGGGTAGACATGCTGTGTTCCAATTTCCAACAACAGCAAGTCCTCCAGCAGTGGAAACGATGCTGCAGTCACTTGTCTGATATAGTTGAAGGTTAGAAAAAGCTTCACTGTGTCCTTTGGCACAAGTGGAACATCTGTGAGGTTGCAGAAATTATACATGGAGACTTGGGCTTCTGAGTAACAGCTTCTAAATGAACTTACGCCGCTGGCTAGTGATATTCCAAAGACAAGTACGAGCTGTTGATGTAACATCACGAAGCTACGTGGGAAAAAGAAGTGAAAATAGTATGTGTGAATTCTGTAGTTGGCTACCTACGCAGTAGGTTGTACAGCACCTTTTTAACGGCCTTTGTAGAATAAAAGACTAATGTCACACTAAAAAATTCCTAGTGATTTGGGATTTATCCTTTCCCTAAAGTCTAACAGTCATCATCTGAGAGGCTGGCTGATCAGAAGAGGGACCCCCAGAGAGATGCGAGTGCCTCCCATGACCTGAAATGAAGCCCTCCTTTATGTACCTTGGGAATGGCACCAAAACCCTACTAGGGAAGCGTGAAAGTCTTGGCCTAGCTATTTAATTTGTGTCACGGAAGTGGTAACGCTGGTGTATTAGCTTAATTCCTTCATCAGCTATCCGAACAGGTTTAAACATTTGGATTGCCAAAGTCAAGTGCAGTCATCCAGTCATCTCAGGAGAGCTGGCCAGCGCTGAGCACTCGCCCGGTGAGGGCTGCCACGCTGTCAGGAATTCAGGTTGCTGTCACACGGGAGTGCCTAACAGCTGTGAATTTTTAAAAGGGGGATGGACCTCTGTTGCAGCTCCTTGAGCTCAAAATGTTTATAGAGTGGAAGAATTAGAAAATGTCGTTTTAAAATTTAAAAATGTAGTTTTATTTTTGTTATTAGAAAATAAGAAAATGGTGCAACATTTCTAGCCACCTTTGCGTGTACACTTACCTGCTTTTCCATGTTCTTGAAAATTAAAGAAGTCTCTATAAACGATCCCGTAACAGCTGTTACGCTCCACCTCCACTCTGGTTTGGGGACAAGGAAGATGTCATTAGTAAACTTGTTGCTCCCTCAATTTTTTCTGCCTAAGTTACTATCTTTTCCCCCAGATCTTGGCCCTCCATGAGCAGGACGAAGATGTTGGCAGTAAGTCATGCCTCTTACTGCGCTCCTGAGGACAGCAAACATTTTTAATTCAACAGAATCCCTCTGGGTAGTATTTTATACAACCTTTCCCCATTGTATGTCAGCACCTAAGACCTTTTGGGAAGATTATTCTTCCCACAAAATGACGATCATCCCATTCAGTTACGTGCCTGTGCGTGGACGTGGAGGTGAAGGGATGTGTCGATGCTTCATCCGTTACTGAAAACTGGAGCAATGAAGTTTAAAGAACCAGAGCTCAGCATGTGTGATTTTGTTTCCTTCTACTGTGTTGATGTCGGAAGGGTTGAGCGGTAAAGGGGAGGAAAAGTAGGAGAGGCAGGAAAAATGCAGCAGATGCTTTTGGGATGGAAAGTCCTAAGCAGGGCATGTTTCTGAGCAACAGAAAGAATTTTCACAATGCAGGGTGGGTGTTCTACCTAGATCTAAAGGCATGCAGAATGCAAATACCCTGGCTCCGGTCTCCGCCTCTGCAGGAAGAGTGCGTGTCTGGATTAGGGAAGGCCGATGCAGATGCTTTGAGTCGTCTGGAACTGACCTATGCTACGGCAGTAGCTTTTTTTTAAAACTCAGTCTTGTTAATTTGGTTTTAAATCACCCACAGTCCTTCCCTAGCACTGCAAAAAAGGAAGGGAACTGATGGTACCTGAGGGCGGGCGTTGAAGTCGTGCCTGTCCATCCCAGCACCGCTGCGTGCACCTTCCAAGCAGGCTGTCAGCTAGCAGGGCCTGAAGTAGAGCTGTCGAGGAGGACTATGTCTCCTTTTGATGTACACAAAACAGGAAAGAAGTCAGAGTAACAGCCCTCCACAGAGAATTAGAAAGCACTTGCCATTCCCCTTTCCACACCCCCAACAAAAATGCACTGGAGTCCACATAAACAAGGAACAGGTTACATACCCTGGTTTTGTCCTTGCTGATGGCAGAGTGTTTGCTTGCTTTTTGAGAGTGATCTGAAAGGAAAATCTCGGTCTGAGGAGTGGTTTTGTGCAGCATTCGGTAACACGCCTACTCTCTTCAGCAGCCTCCCGTGATTCTGCCACCCAACCCGAGGTCACGGATGCACCCCCACAGGCTGATGGCAGCAAACAGATGTGCACCCCATGTAAGTCAGCAGCACACCCAGACGGTCCCCCGCTGTCAGCCACAGGCTTTGGGGAACCGAGCTGGCTCTCCAGGTGGGCTCTAGAAAAGACTCATCGGACACAAGCATCAGTAAGATTTAAAGAGTTTAAAAACCTTTTCAATACCCTATTGCAGTGACCATGGCATCCTCCTAAAGAGACTTTTCCTAGATGATGCCTCAGTCAGCCAGGGGAATTGTGTGCCCGCCGCCAGCACAGACTTCTTGACGTAATTCCCCAGAGATGAAGCCTTGTGACAAGGAATACTGGTCATTCGGCTGTCTGGGATGTGGTTGACAGATAAAAAGATAAAGACAGAAGTAAAGCTGGTAAATTTTTCATTATCGGCACCCAAAAAATAAGTCAGTTTTTTGCTCAAGCTAATTTTCAGCAAAATATCCAGGTCTTTTTCTGTAGGTCACTGAATCACAGATGATTAGGGATGATATATCTGTAATAAAAGTAGCAGTATTTGACTGTGTGAGAATCTCATCTCTAATTGCTGCAATCCTTCTTTAGGATTAAGGATTGAGGGATAAACATTAATCCTACTGGCAAGTTGGAAGGCTTTTTTCCCCTTTAGCTCCATAGCTAAGAGTCTTGCCATGTGGACAGCAAGATGAGAGAGCTCACCCAGAGCCGGCACGAGTGCTGCCGCTACCCTGATGTAGCACTCGTTGCCACAGGTAGCACCAAGGCTCCCCGGAGAAAGGGAAGAAAGAAAGGTAGGATTAACAGCTTCCGGGGGGATTTCTTGCCTGTAAAACCAGTGCATAGGGGACAGTCCTTTTTTCTCCCCTCTATACCCAAAAGCATTGGGCACTGAAGAGACAAAGACATTCCTTATTGATTTTTTTCTGTAGTGAGATGGGTTTGTGTACAGATTTAACTGATTTAACTTAAAATTTGACATGCACACTGCTTTCATCATCGGGGTACAGCTTTTCTTGGGAATGTTCTGGAAATACATTTAAGCCAACTTCTGTATGTGCATGTCCAGAGTCCAGCTGACCAATATGCATCTAACCTAAAGCACGCTGAGCTTGCAGCAGCGGTTACGGACAAGTTTCTAGACAGACTGGTGCCACACTTCTGCTTTCTGGCAAATACAAAGATTTGAAATCATTCTCTGGTTGCAAATCTAATCAGCAATAGATGTTTCTGTGTAGAAAATCATACAATTTCAAATGGTTTGCTTCCAATCGTTAGATACAAACATAAATACGTCCTTGCCAACTTCCGGCCATCTCTTGCGCTCACCAGAGTAGCGGTCCCGCCTGAGAGGGATGGGCACGTTTGCAGGTGTGACACAGTGACCTGGGGGTCCTGCCTGCGTACAGCCTCTGAATCCCACTTGAAGTAGTTATGCTCTTAGTACGAAGTTGTTCTAGTGTACTGTGCCTGGGCTGTCATCCAGCATCACTGACAGAGGTTGCAGGATGCCTTTCCATGACCAGAAACAACAGTCAGCGGTTAAATCCTTTCAGGACAAGGGATTAACCAGTTCCTAGAAGAGTTAGTTAACCCCAGATGTGTCTGCTGGCAAAGTGCAGCACTCACTCATGAAGAAATCAGCTGCAGGTACAAAGCGCACGGGCACGAAATTGCTACTGGGAAAGGGAAATAATGAACAGGAGGGTGGAACCTTTGGGTAAGTGAGGGCATTTTCACTTAGTTTCAGGTTCAGCCTGACTCTGGACTCTCATATTTCAAAGGGCTCTTGATTCAGTCTCCAGATGAAAACTGTGTGTGTGCTTTCTGGTCATGTGCCCTATCCTGGAACACAGCTCATGCAGCTCCTGTCCTATTTGGATCGCAGGGACCCTTTCGTAGAAACACCCAAACAGAATGAAGGAGACACACACCTCCCACCCCCCAAAAAACCAGGAGAGTAGCAAGCAATCCCCATAGCAAACGATGGAAACTTGTCTCTGTTGTTTCTGTGTCGCAGGGCTGAGACTTCCTCTAAGGTATCTAGAATATTTAGCTATGAATTTCAGGTTTTCTGAGAATGGGTCAAAGCTATTGAGGCTAGAGGCTGTAACTGTGGAAACTGGTACCTCACAGCAGAAGGAGATGCCGAAAGAACCGAGGGGTTCACTATAGTCCTCCGATATCACAAAACAAGGGAAACACTGATCAGATGCAACGTTATGGCAGAGACATGTACTGACAAAGGGAAGTAGAGGCCAGTAATGTCAGTTGCTAATTCTGTACTCAACACTGGGCTCTAAAGATGAAGCCTGGCTATGGATTTTAGCTCAACTAGCAGTTTGGATTAAACAACCAAAATCAAGCAAGCAATATTCTATTCTGACATAATTCAAGGAGTTTATCTTCCAACAGCTGCTCAGCTAAAAATCCTTATGGCTCCTGCATTCTTGTTTGCACAGCCGAGCGTCTGCAGGAGAGATGTAAGGGACTGTCACCGAACACACCGACGTGCTTACAGCCTCGTGGTTACAGCCTGAGTGAGAACAAGAGTGAAGCTTCTCACACTCAGGAAGGCCAAGTACCCAGGCCTTCCACTTCCGCTGGTGGTTCTGACTGGGTGACAGTGTCAGAGACTTCTCCTTTCCTTGGCTAAGAAAACACCCATGGCTAGGATGCCCTGCGCTTGACCCATGGCAGCAGCTGTGCCAGAAGTGCTCCGTGCTGGCTGCCAGCCTGCTTGGGGACATGTTCCTCATGCTTGTCTCCCCAACACCCGGGCAAGGCTCCGCACCTTGGGGTGCTCCTGTGCGATGGCTTACACGGACCGGGAGCAGCGGCAGCGATGGTGGTGCCATGTGGGTTTATGACGGAAGGGAGGGCCTTTTGGACCAGATTTTGGGGACTTGGCTGCCTAAAATCTACTGAAATTCACCTGAGCAGACAAATCTGTCAATCTTATTCTTCAATCTTTGGGTCCCTTCCTGCCATCCCAATGTCTCCCTGTTCAGTTTTCCCATGTCAC